CTGAAAAGTTGGTGTTTATTTACTTGTGACCACGCTGTGTACAGTGTTAAGTGCTTTTATCACAAGTACGTACGGTAGTCAATCCTCATATCTCAGTGATTGTCATGGTTAATAGCCTATACCAGTGGTTCCCAACCTTTGCTCCACCAAGGACCCCTTTTATTATAATTTTTCCCCCCATGGACCCCATGTTTTTGAAAGATTCCACCTACTCAACAAACTGTTTTTATTAACTAATAATTAACTCGTTCTTACACTTTTCACTATTAAATAAAAGACATATATAACTGAGTGTGCAATTAAAAAGAACATCAGTATTAAAAAACTTACTTGTTTAATGAGATGGTATTACCTACGCGGACCCCCAGGTTGGGAACCACTGTCCTAAGTCTAATTATTAAATAGCCACTATGTATTAGCTGCTAACCTTCTGCTGTCTTCACAAAATTCCTTAGAAAGCTGATTCGGTGCGGTAGGAGCCACAATTCGATCATGGGTCTCCTTGACAAAAATTCTGGTGTGTTATCCATTCGACTGGAGTCTCTCCCATTTGGGACTTGAATCAAGGGGGGGGGGTGTTATCCGGGTTTTTCTGACTTCTATACTAGATCAACTTATTGGGTTATCAGTTAATTGGCTGTAGTAGCCTTCTTTTATCTTTACATTTCTCGTGTGGGATTCATACCCTGTTATTTAGTATTACTTCGATTTATCCAGCATGGTGGACTATTGTAGATAAACCGCTATTATCAAGCCTTGTATGGCTATTGAGTTACTGAATGCCAACTTTTATTGAATTTCAAATTCACACTAACAAAGGATGTTTGTAAATTGTAATCTTTTTCTCTCTCCATCGTAGGCCAGGCATGGCCAGGTGGTTTGGGCGCTCGACTCGCAATCTGCGAATCCCCGTCACACGAAATATGCTCGCCGTTTCAGCCGTGGGAGCGTTATAATGTTACGGTCAATCCCATGATTCGTTGGTAAAAGAGTAGCCTAAGAGTTGGCGGTGGGTAGTGATGACTAGGTGTCTTCCCTCTAGTCTTACACTAAATTAGGGACGGCTAGCGCAGATAGCCCTGGTGTAGCTTTGCGCGAAATCCATAACAAACAAACAAACAAACTCTCCATCTGGTCTTTAGTTGGTTTAGAATAGACTAGCTAGAATCATACAGTGGTATGGCTTCTAAATACTGTTTACACATTACGTTACTTACATATCCTCTATATTATTTTTTTCAGAGACTTCTGGTAATGATGAAAATGGCTGTAATATATTTTTCCTTCCTTATTTTCTTCTTTACCGAGTGTCTTAGGTATCTGTTGTTAAAGAAGTGTTTCGGGTATCTGTTGTTAAAGAAGTGTTTCGGGTATCTGTTGTTAAAGAAGTGTTTCGGGTATCTGTTGTTAAAGAGATGTTTCGAGTATCTGTTGTTAAAGAAGTGTTCCGGGTATCTGTTGTTAAAGAAGTGTGTCGAGTATCTGTTGTTAAAGAAGTGTTCCGGGTATCTGTTGTTAAAGAGGACTGTAGTGATTTGTTTTCTTTGCCATTACAAATCTTGTCCATATTGGAAACTGGTCAGTCTATGATGCCTGTCTTTACTCTATTGATGGTAGTTTGTTTATGGTCAATAATCATTTTATAGTTACGTGTCTCTGTAGCCAACATTTCAAGGAATGGACGTTTGTTATCTCTTTATATTTCCTTTGTAAATTGTCTGTTCAGATGGATCATGAATTCCTTAACTTTGTCTGTATTGTGTGCCCAAATTTCTAATGTGTTATCAGCATATCTCAGTCAAAACTTGGGGTGTAGAGAGTCTCTTTGAAGGAATTAACTTCGAAATATTTCATTTCACGTAGAAGCCATCAAAAACTGGCTGACCCTCTGGAAAATATCGAAATAGTTGATTGATTAAAGCTATAACTGTGTAATAACAGTAATAATACCCACTAAACCCAGTAAAAATCAGCAAAAACTTTGATAATCTTCTTAAAAACATTAAAAGTGTTAATCGATTGAAGTTCAAAAGTGACTAGGGGCAACCCCAGTCAAGTAGATAAATTACGAAGACTCGGGATCGAATCCAGGTTACAACCATACCAGAAATACTCCTCATGACTTCCTTGTTTGTCTTTTACGCGCAAAGCTACACAATTGGTTATCTGCGTTATGTGCCGCGGGTAATTAACTCTGAGCCACCAGCGGATCATAATTACGCAGTAACAACCACTAAAAGTAGCAAGAGGGCAACAGGAGCACAATAAAAGTTATATATAATTGTTACAAAATCACTTTAAGCGAATATTAATCTTAATCAACGCCGAAGGAAGAAAACAACTGATACATACTATAATAGCTGGAAAATATAACCTTATTCATAGTCATACCGGTGGGTCAACGGTAACGTACGGACTTACAACGCTAAAATCTGGGGCTCGATTTCCTGCGGTTTCAGCAGACAGCTCAAATGTGGCTCTGCTCTTAAAACAAAAGAAAGAAAGAAACGTTGCCTCTTTTACACATATCATTACACAATATCATGAAAAATCAGCAAACTGCTGAGCTATTCCGGGGCTTTCATTATCTATCAGTCTTGGTTGGTTCTTGTGTCAATATCTGAACCCTAACCGGGTTTTATATTAATCTACTTTGTATTTAATTAAGTCACTCCTATTTAGCAGATGAACTCATCACAGGCTATTTAAATGAAATGGCTGACAAGTGTAAACATTTTGTTTCAACTCTCATGTGATTTAATAGCAGTAGGAACGAAATACCTGAATTGTCAAATCGGATCACGCTTTCTCCGCAATACCTCTCGCACTCTGAAAGAGTCTTGAAATTGTTATTGTTGCCTCCGCAACCACTATAAATGAATTTAAGACACCGTCGGTAAGTTGGACTGAAGTAATATCGATGAAGGTTTCCTGAACATGGTCCTTTTTCTTTAAGTTGGCTACACACTTTGTTGCGAAGAGCTATAGAGATGTAAAAACAACAGTTAGACCTTATCTACGACAAAATTAACTGGCAAGAAAGGGCCTGATCCGGACTCGATAGTCCTGCTCAATATCGTTTAATATGTATATTAGGCCTAATCCTAAATCAAAATATATTGTTCAACATGACTGTTGTTACAAGTGTTAAGCCTAAATACAAAAAACTTGACCTTATGAAAACTAAAACTATCTGCTAAGAAAGGAGCTAATCTAAAATCAGGGTTCCTGTTTAATATGGTTGAAGATATATAGTAGGCCTAATCTGAATTCAAAAATAATGCTCAACAAATAATGCTCAACATACGAATGTTAGGCCTGGCAGCAATGTTGCCTTTACCTAAGACGACTAATTTCTAATGAACGTATTTTGCAGACAACGTTGTATGAAGCATGTTTACTACGACAAATTACAAATGATGTAACGCATAGCAGTAAAATTAAATTGTTAAATACGATAATGCCATCTAGTGACAAAGCGATATGTCTGCGGACTTACAACACTAGAATCCAGGTTTCGATACCCGTAGTGGGCAGAGCACAGATAGCCCATTGGGCAAATTTGTGCTTAATTACAAACAAACAAACAAATGCGATAAATTCGTATAATAAATAAAATAACTTGAACCAATAGCTAACAACATACGTGGGCTACAATTACAAGTTACAGACCGGTTCTCAATGTAATAATCTATATACAAAATATACGGCAAAAAATAATAAAATAAATGAAAATACACTGTTTACATTTTGTACCAAGTTTCTTAATGTTTAAAAATGCACTAAATTTCACAGTATACTTGCTGTTGACTAGTACATTTGTTAGTGATTTCAACTTGCTTTATCAGTTAGTCGAGCATCGATAACAGAATAACGATATGGAAAATTTTGTCCGTGGCTGATCTGTTTATACAGATTTGATTATTCTGATCCGTTGAATTTATCTATCAACATTTAAATTAAATCTATGTATGATTCATTTATAAACGTGATGCCCGGCAAGGCCAGGTGGTTACGGCACTCGACTTGCAATCTGAGGGTCGCGGGTTCGAATCCCCGTCACAACAAACATGCTCGCCGTCTGGGCGTTATAATGAGACGGTCATTCGTTGGTAAAAGAGTAGCCCAAGAGTTGGCGGTGGGTGGTGATGACTAGCTGCCTTCCCTCTAGTCTTACGCTGCTAAATTAGGGACGGCTAACGCAGATAGACCTCGTGTAGCTTTGCGCGAAATTCAAAAACAAACGTTTCCGTGCACATTTCTGCATATACATGAATAGTTCTAGATTCTATATCTAGATTCACGATATATTTACATCAAAGATACGTATTTGCAAAGTTGTTTTAATTATATTTATATAAAATAAATGAAAATATAGTCACAAAGATAGTCCTAAAGGGCCTGAATTGAGCTCTAACAAAAAAATGTGAAAACACGAAGTTTCACTGCTTGTTTGTTGAATTTAGCGAAAAACTACACGAGTGTTATCTAATTATGAAATTTATGACTAGTGAGAGAATCTAACTAGTCTCTAAATTTAAAAAAAAAAGTAAAAATAGCTTAGTTTTTCGCAATTGATTCACAGCCTATAAATTTATTAAAACTGAGCACTCATACTTACCTTTATCACACAAAAT